TCTACTGTCCATAGGCACTTGATTAAAGCAGGTAATTATATATATGTATTTTTTATTATTTTGAGATTTATTCATCTCACACATATCAATAGTGTGTTCACTCCTTTTTGTCGCCTGGTAGAATTCCAGTCTCCTGCTCCCCTGCCCTTCCAGACCCGAGCAGAAGTCAAGGGGAAGGGAGGCTCTTGCCATTACATAAAACCTCACCCATCAAATTAAACAAAATATCAGCTAAAGAAAGGTGAAGGGAAGTTTGGAATCTGCATTCTAGGTTTTCTTCCAGCTGGGTTCAGCCACTGACCTCTAAAATGATCACGGCCCATGCCCTCTCTCTTTACTGTCTAGAAAACTCAGTCTCCCACACCTGCCCTAAAGGGGCCCTGCGCAAACCACAGGTCTGTACTTTGCCTTCCCTGGATCCCCCACCTCACAGCCCCAGCTCAGAAGAAACTCTACACCCAGCACACACACACACACACACACACACACACGCACGCATGCACGCATGCACGCACACACACAGAGCAACACCCTCCCTCGGCCCATAGGCACCGACTATGACTCTCAGCTTCTCGGGCTCGGGGCTCTTGCTCCACAGCAGAGAGAGACGAGGGCGCCCTCAGGGCGGCTCCTATCGGGGGGGCTTAGGGCTAAACAGGGCACCTCGCTCCCCACTTTGCTGGGTAAGGGCAGGCTCGGCGCAGCAGCCCCTCTCCCGATAAAAGACCTCTCAACACCTCTGCTCTCTCCAAACTTTTCTGCCCTCCTCATGAATTAAGGAGCCACCTAATATTCTTTTTTTCCTGGTTTTTAAAAACTAGCATAAAATTATTTTAAAATGTCCAGTGGAGTTTAGTACATTCACTATGTTGTACGGCGACCTATATTACGTCTTAAAACATGCTAATCACCCCGAAAGGAAGCCTGCACTCACTAAGTCATCGTCCCCTATTCCCCTCCGCCCTTGGCAACACTTGCCAACCCCCTACACGGTCTTGATAATCTCCTTGGAAATTTCCACGCTTTGGTCTCCGATCCCACAGTAAAATGTCTTACCTGTCACATCTGGTACCTCCATCGGAAGCTACAGTTGAATCCCTGTTACCCTGAGGCCACTATCTTGACCCAACCATCCTCCAGTTCACAAACACGGGTGCCTTCACCTCACAGCTTTGGACCCCTTACATGGATCCTTCAGGAAAAAACTGCTTACAAAGCTGTGGCGCAGCCCGGCTGGCGTGGCTCAGCGGTTGAGCACTGACCTGGGATCCAGGAGACTGAGGTTCGATTCCCGGTCAGGGCACATGCCTGGGTTGCAGGTTCGATCCCCAGCAGGGGTGCGCAGGAGGCAGCCAATCAATGACTCTCTCATCATTGATGTTTCTCTCTCTCTCTCTCCCTCTCCCTTCCTCTCTCTGTAATCAATAAAGATATATTTAAAAAAATAAATAAATAAAAGCTGTGGCACAGCCCTAGCCAGTTTTGCTCAGTGGTTAGAGCGTCAGCCCGCGGATTGAAGGGTCCCAGGTTCAATTCCAGCCAAGGGCGTGTACCTCTATTTGGGACTCCATTCCCAGCCCCAGTCAGAGCCCGTGCAGGTGACAACCAATCGATGTGTCTCTCTCACACTGATGTCTCTCTCTTAAATTAATGTTTCTCTCTCTCTCTCTCTCTCTCCCCCCCCCC